ATACACTCTTAATATTTGTTTTAGTAGGTACTTGAATAAAAACTAATATCATACATGAGAAAAATTTGCCAACACAGAACTAGTATTAAAGTAACAAAACAACTGCCCTGTATGAAATTAAATATTGAAGTATATCATATTATTGCGGTCCAAAAGAACCGCGTTTGATTCTCGCTTCACGCTATACGGAGCAACAGTTAAGGACCTGGCTCATGATGCATGTTGCATTCAATTTATATCTATACATATAATAAAATTGTAACTAAGCCAAATCTGTACATTAAATATTTTTTGGAAATTCTTATTGAAATAGTCATTATTATCGATACAGAGGCCGAATCTATAGTTTTTAGAATTTTCGTGTGTCTGTCTGTCTGTTACCACATCATGGAAAACCCACTGGAAGGATTCTGATGAAATTTGGTTTGATGATAGAGTCTGTGCGGAAAGAGAACCGTCATGAGACTTGAGGGCGCAGCTTTGTTTAATTACCGTATTTGTTATGTTGGCAACACTATAGTGCGACTGTAACATCTTGATACTTTGAAACTATGTTAGAATATAATGTTTTCAGATTCCGTCTTAATTATTGTTTTAAGGAATGATTTTAATGATAACTGTTATAGATATTTCTGAATGGACGGCATGTGCATTTTAAATTAATTTTCTAAGTAGTGTTCAATGAAGAGCGGGGATCGGAAATAAAGGACGTATTCTGTACTACAGTTGTTTTAATGCTTTCGTCTAAAAATAATGATTTATGACCATTCACAAACACACGCACGTCTTCCTTTACGTTTTTTCGCTGGCGTGCATCACATGCCGTTATTTATGGAACTTTCTTTTTTTTATTTTAGATACTGTATCATTACTCAATCCTGAAAAAGTAGAAAAAATATTTTAAGTTAAGACTAATTTTAATAACTCGCTTAGACAAGCGCATTATAAATTAAAAGTACCAACACTCTTTATACCTGCTATGAAAAATATTGATTGGAACAAAATAAACAAATATTATCATATTTCTAAATGAATTCCTTTTAATTTATACATATTTTGAGATGTCAGGGACCGCAGGTTACTTAGGAAATCTATAAACATTAAAATAAAACTGTTACATACCGGACATACCTGCCACACGTTCCGTGACTTTATTTAGCTAAATAATGGTGTGTGTTTGCTTCTTTTTCTCCTTAGCAGAATTGTATAATATTAAATATTATTTCGCTTGTCGAACTGTCTAAAGTTTTACCTCTTTTCGACATGATTTAAAATAAAAATCACAATAAAACAACACAATAAACACGAAATAAAGTTTGACATTTGACAGATGGCTAGATTGGGTAGCCATATAAAAATCATAATGTTAGTTCCATTTTATGCCACGACGGTTCTCTTTTCGCACAGACTCTAACTGGTTATCCGGGTCAACATATAGGATACTTTTTACCGTGGGAAAATATCTTAATACAAAAACTGAAATGTAAAAGTATAGTAATATGTAAAACCTAAGAATTTGGTTTTTGATTATCAGAACGCGGGCAGAGCCGCGGGCAATGCTAGTACGTTATATAAAATAATGTAGTATTAATAAAACAGTAACATGTTGTACATACTTAATGTATTTATAGTAAAAACTAACAAATATTTCATTTTCTCTTACTTTTAATTATTTTAATGAAAATGTGTGTTGTATAAAAATCACCGAAGAATTTCTAAACTAATTTTTCGAAAACAATGAAGAAGTTTTAAAAATACCCTAGTAAAGATTCGCCAGTAAATTTCGCAGGTGCAATCATTTACGTATAACAAAGAAAGTTTATTTTCTCTTTTTATTAGTTATATTATACGAGCAGAACCCGCGGCTTCACTCGCGCTAAAACTGTAGTTTATGTAAAAAAAACTCAAGAGGTAGTTTCATACAAACTTTCTCCCCTATTTTACCCCCTCATACGATGAATTTTGAAAAATGCTAAAAAACGTGTTTATTTAATTTTATTGAACAGCTATAATACCAAGTTTCAAGTAATTCTGGTCATAAATATTTTTATTGGATTGTATTTTATCATGTATTCCCGTGGGAATTAGACAATCTCCCGCTGTAAAAAGTCTAAAAAGCCTATGTCACTCTCCAGCCCTTTAACTATCTTCACACAAAAAATCACGCCAATCCGTCATTCCGTTTCGACGTGAAAGAAGGACAAACAAACAAACACACTTTCACATTTATAATATTAGTATGGATGTTCACTACTTCACTTGAGAAAGGCACATAATAGCTCTTAACGTATTATGACAATGTAACTCAATAGTAACATAATTAATAAAAATGCCTGGACAAAATGATTTTCAACCGACTTCAAAAAGGAGGAGGTTCTCAATTCGACTGTATGTTTTTTTTTTATGTTTGTTACCTCAGAACTCCGTAATTTATTAACCGAATTGGACAATTTTAGTTTTGTTTGAAAGGCTATACTTCCAGATTGGTCCCATTTAAATTTCAAAAAAAAATACCACCCCTAAGGGTGGAAAAACAACTAATGATGAATTTAACCTACTTCTAATTGTCATATTGACTTGAAACTTTGCAAGTATTTCTATTTTCGTTGATAGTACAGTGGTTCGGTGTTGTTGACCTGATCTGATGGCAAGGCTAGAAGGTGGATAGGTGGAACTCTTCAACGGCTAATAGTAGATACTTTGAGTTTGGGCTTATTTTGTTTGATTTGACAAGCCTAACACGTTAGAATCCTTACTTTGCTACTACTGTTTACACTAAAAAGGGAAAAATAAAAACTTTTTAACAAAAAAATAAAAACCGACTTCAAACAAAAGCACTAAAAAGTAAAAAATAACTGATTGGTAGTTTTCATTTACTATACATACCTAATAAAATATTTTCGAAGTCGGTGTGCTTTGGCTAAGTAATTAAAGCCTACCTATAACCTACCTATTTAATACATACCTAATCAAATATTTTCAAAATCGGTGCCAGTCCATACAAAGCAAAGCACACCGACTTCGAAAATATTTGATTAGGTATGTATAGTAAATGAAAACTACCAATCAGTTATTTTTTACTTTTTATTAGATGATCATAACGTTGACGATACGTTTAGCTCAGTTTGTAGTGACCCTACTCGCTGTGCCAACGGTCGCAGGTTCGAGTCCCACTGGGAACATTCATTTGTGTGATGAGCACGAATGTTTGTAATTTAGTCATGGAACTAGATGGTGTTGTGTGTTAATAACCCAACATATTTATTTTTTTATATTTACCACGGTGTTGCAGAATTTAATGAAATTATCTGTGAAGATAATATTCCGTGTGCGTTCATAAGGGGAAGTAAGGGAACGGGGAGTGGGGATGATAACAGATTGGACCGTTGGAGCAACCCCATGGTTGTTGTGGTCTGCTTCGGCAGGCCTGCCGTTGGGGAGTCGTGGTTGGGTGCATAAGCGATCCTGCGACTGGCCATTACGACCGGGGAGGTTCAGATGGGTCTTAGTGGGCTTAGCCGATGAGTCCCACGTAACCACCTATATGCATGTAAGTAGGTGCTATGTATAAGTGTATTTTCAGTTAAAAAAGGGCCATAAGTCTGTGTAGGTACTAAATTTCATTCAAATTCGTCCAGCTGCTTTGCCGTGAAGGAGTACCACACACACACATACGCAAATACAAACTTATGCATTTACAACAGTAGTCCGATTATAACATTGTGTTAAATCCATAATATTTCGCTGCGTATCTTATGTTTACGCATGTTCCCGCTAAAGCGTGACGCTATTAATTTCTAATTTTGAACACGCACAGCTTTGTGTCGTATGATTACAAATGAATATTGAATCTGTTGACCACTTTAAAAATATAATAGCATTCAATATCTTTATAACTAAATTTATCCGAATGTAGAGCCCAGTGTGGGTACGCTCGGCCGGCTCTGAATAGCACGCCGAGGGCATTCCAGACCCGACCGGAACGTATCAAAATTCAATCTTTCACTTACATTGCAATATGAAAATTGAATTTTGTTACTCATATAGGGAATATAAAGGCATGCAGATATAGACTGCTGTGGGAGGATATTTCCATTGGGTTTTAATATAGGATTACCTAATTTACTTAAGGTAGCGGTTGTGGGCGTCTTTACTTAGCAGTATTGTACCTATCCGCGACCAAACATATTTTTTTTATGAAAAAGTTTGTAAGATATGTATTTTTGCCCAGAATTGTAATAATTATCATAATGTATTAAAAGTATGATGTTTTTAAAAAGAAGATATTAGAGAACAAGATCAATATTGTACGTACTATCAAAACTTACCATGTCTCATATGTTACGTAAGTTAGAGTCAAAGTTATTATTTCTTTTTATATATTAAAATACTCTCATAAACTTAAGCACATTTTCTTTAGTAGAAGCTTAAATACACATTATCAAAAACATTTACCACCATGATAGTGTCTATGATACTAAAAATAAAAAATGTTAGGTCTATTCATCGCAACCCTATCTTTGTGTGATTAATAAGATTTCGCTGCGCAGGGGTCCTTTTGTCCATTTTATTCATATGCTAACTCCGGCTACTTCTGTTTTACAGAGAATCACTTCATTGTACTTCAAAACAATAGCGAAATTGCGACGCGAATACTATCTCCATAACATATACCTATGTACAGCTCTATAGGAACACAAGTAATCAAAATTGTGAAATTTGTGCCAAAATTCACCTCGTTTGTACAAAATGTAATAATTATGTATAATAAATATTTGGCTATCAGTAATATGATATAATCTGCACTTTACATAATCATCGCTTTGCATCAATAAACCTATATCAATGTTGCCGAGTCACTGCAAACAATAGGATAGTTCCCAAAGCGCAGGTTCGGTTCTATTGTAATGTATTAATTAATAAAATAAAGGGGGTCAGGGGGATCTTTTGTCCAGCTAGGATTGATCAGATCTCATTAACCAGTCATTGTGAGCGGAACAATGTGGTGGTCAGCCCGCACACCGAAGCTATGTCGCGTCATCCTTCCATACAACCTGGCTTTTCTAACAGACCACAAAAGGTTGGTGACGGTACAGAATGTAGTTGAAAGGTCTTATATCTGAGAAAAGAAATTTCAATTCATATATGTTGTTTAAATATTATAATATTTTACTTTTGCATTGTACACATTTTAGGTATAATAAACAAGTGATAAAAATGTATAACTTAAGTGCTACGCAGTAAATCTCGTAGCGTACGTAGATGCGCTACACGAATTCAATGTACGCGAGAAATATAATATGCATTAGCGTTGCACAGACGTAATGTTATTTCAACTTTTTAGAAATATTAACTTTACAATGATATCTAAATTTTCTCCTTTTGTATTATTAATTATTATTAATTTTAATAATGTAATTATTAATAACTGCAAAATTAATTCCAATAATAATATGTACTTATTTACATAGGAAAACACCGCAAAATATAGAATATTTAAAATATTACGAAAAATATTTAAATCGTAGACTTACACCTAGACGTCCTGACTTAAGAAAGTACACAGAAATCCTTACACAAAAGTCTCCGACGGACAATAGATGGCGCTTGATCTAGATAACGATATGTTAACATTGTCACAATAGCGGCGGTAATGGCGCGATTGTACTTTGACACAATGCTTTTAGATGTCACCTTCAACAATGGACTCGTTCGATAACTGCTACTGTTGTGCTCAGTCAAACGCGCCAATCTCACGAAAATATTGCCCAATAAATACCGTAAACATGCTCAATATAGCTTAAAACTATTTATTGTCAGGGCAACATGTCACCAAGCAGTGAATAGCAAGTCAAGTGTAGGCGTACCTTGTGATTGCAGGTTTACAGGCTATTGTACAAAGCTATTATTGGAAATGCCAAAACTAACGTACGAGTAGGTATATTGTTTCTATAACAACATCATAAATTTTTTTTTTTGATCAAACATTATTACATTTGCAATAATTCATTAAAAATAAGAAATCTATTCGCTAATTAAATAATAACTACAAAATATAAAAATATTTGTTTAAATATTTATTAAATACATTAATACTGGACACCTAGAAGTAGGAAATACGTTGACATTTTTTTTAAATTTACTCAATTTTTTGTTTTACATATTTAAAATTAATAAATTTATAAATGCTATACATAATATATCTTACGGCATACATTAAAATTAATACCGAAAAAGAAGATAATACAAAATGATAGAGTGTATTGTGTAGAAATAGTCATTTACTTAGTGTGTATTCTCCCCTTTACATAAGCATATATGTTGTATAAGTACGTATTTGTCAAAAACAAGCAATTGATAAAACCGTTCAATACACGCCTATGACAATTCGTACTCAAAATCGACGTCATAACAATGGTTTAGCGCCAGATAAACTTGATCCTTCCCTCTCTCCACGTCCTGTATATAGTGCTCTAAAAAGGATATGCTTGTAAGTTGCTAGAGATCTTCTAAAGCTGGACGAGAAGCAAAAGCCAACTATTCAATGTTATGTTATTCAAATCCGATGATGGATCACAATTTTGGAGAACATTGTATGAAAACAAATGGTGTGGAGGAATAAAGCAGTGAATGTGGTTTGTGACAGGCTTTGTTTATCTGTAGTGGTTATGTCAGTATTTTCTACTGAATTGGTTTGAAATGTTAGTTTTAATACAAGTAATTAAAAGCGTGTTTTAGCTTTATTCGAAATTCTTTCCATGAGGGGGTAAAATAGGGGATGAAAGTTTGTATGAAATCAATCTTTTTAGAGTTTGTTTTTTATAGTTTTAGCGCGAGCGAAGCCGCGGGTTCTGCTAGTATATAATATAGCAAAAAAAGTATAAAAATAATGTACATAAATTATAATTTACATATAAAAATTCAGGCCACCAAAACCAACATTCATCAAACGAAGAATCGTCGATAAATTGACGATTAATTTAACGAACAAATACACCGGTACAGGGGTTGGTGTCGAGATGACCGATACGAGGGATGATAAGGGTCATCAACATGTGAATTATTGATCTGTACACCTTTAATTTGAGTGAGACTCAAATGAGATTAAAAAAATTGTTTATTGAATTTGTTTATTAAATTTTAAATTAAAAAATACTAATATTTTAAATAAAAATATATATTCTGATTTCCATATTATCATAATATTTTTTTATGTGCAAATTTTTTCCACTCTTAACAGAAAAAACTTAATATTATAATATACTTATAGGTTTCTATAAAAGGAAACTTGTTCTTTCAGTAATAAAAATAATTATTATTTAAGTGTAATTTCATTAATGTAGTTAGTACAAGTGGGCGTATTGTTCGGCTTCGTAATTGGAAAATCTATCAACATAAAAGTAGGGTTATCATCTGTTTGATATGTCAAAAATTCAAAGAAATTTTAAATTATACACATTCTTATTGTTATTGCTCACAGATAGAGATCCTATTAGGTATGGGAATTCTCGCGACTCTTAATTATTTATATAGATACTCATCTATAATAATATAAAATACTAGCAATTCACCCTCGCTTCGCTCAGGTTCGTCCCTAGGGTATGTATACAACTTCCCTATTTGAATCGGATATTATTAAATTTTTCATTGGTTTTAAAAAAATTTCGCGGGACACTATTTTTTTATAAAATAAATGTAGCCTAAGTTACTCCTTATTACATCAGCTATCTGCCAGTAAAAGTTAAAATCGGTCCAGCTATTTCAGAGATTAGCCAGAATAAACAGACAGACAGACAGAAATTGTAAAAAATGTTGTTTCGTTATATGTACCGTGTACCTATACATCCATATGCATTTAGTAAAAAGTTGTTATTTTGACATTACAAACAGACACTTCAACAATTTTATCTACCTGTATAGATTATAAAGAGAAATAACACTTTTTCAGTCTTAAATATTACATATACGCATCTATACGAAGCGAGTGTGAATCTCTTAGTACCCTACAAAGACTACTTGATTACTGGGATATAAAGTAACCTCTTTTTTTATGTTAGGCAATGCATTCACGCAAATCACTTGAACAACAGGTGGTTAGGATACTCATTGGCTAGAAATGCCAGTACCTACTATCTACTAAAACCCTGAAGATAAACAGTGTGGTTGTAAATACGATGAAGTTTGAGAAAAAATATGGAGTTAACCAATTGCCCTCTTGTTGTGAAATAAACTAACGAACAGACTTGCATAAATTATATATTAAAAGTGCGAATATGAAAAAATTTGTAGTAAATTTTAGATTCATATATGTAAGTTAAAAATTTATTGTACATATTTAGTTAGATTTCTTCCACGTTACTTGGCTCATCCCTTTACTAGTTAACACCGGAATAATAGAGAGTTTGAGCTTTTTCTCAATAAAATGAGTATCATCCCTATTCGCGAACAATGCAGTAAGTTACATAGATCAGGAATTAGCAGTCATTGTCCTTGGCACAATGGATCGCGGACGCCGACGTCGCACAATCTAATTAGATAACATTACTATTTCATATATATTCTAAGATCACGTTTTGTCTATGCAAGAAGGTAAGCAAATATGGTTGATACGATTGTAGTAATTGTTCTTATCTAAGAAGCTGTGTATAGGAACTTATTAAAGTATTTACAGTTAAATATAAATGCTTCATTGAACACATATTTTTCAAAAACGTCAATTTATGATGATTACATTATGTTATGGAAAACTTAAATAGTATATAAAAATACTATATTTCTTTTTTTTATTTAAGTTGTTCACAATATACAGGTTAATCATTAATAAATGGTCGTTTCAAAAATATTGTATTATGAAAAACTTACTGAGTATTATTTGCCAGTCCATAATCTCAGTGTGTAAAACCCATTCATATTTTTCATAGTATAAAAATAATGATTTTTTAAAATTATGATGCAATGTTTAATAGTTCAAATCCCTTAAAAATGCACTTAAATGGATATAAAACTGTTAACATATAAATATACGAGTACTTCATATAGAGTAAGATTGTCGCTTTTCCTTCATATGCAGTACCCCGAATGTAACAGTATACAATTTCCCCTTCAAAAATGTGTCTAACGCAAATTGAATGTTTACATTGCACTTCATTTAGAAACTTCCGAGAGCTACATCAATTTATCTGTAAGTTTTCTTTGCATAAAGATATCCTAGTGCTTTACTAAATGGAGCATATTGGATTACATTCTATATTGTACAATATTTTTTTTCATACTTACCTATTTATTTTCCTTTTGTAAAAGCTTCTTAACGTATACATACACCGTACAATGTACATATGTGGCTGCACATAATAAACAAAAGTTTACATAATATTGTAATATAAAAATATATGTTAATTATTACTACAGTAGCTAGCTACATTTGGTGAAAATGCTCTTGTTATATCTATAAAATAAGCTAACCATGAAGTTCGCGTAAGCTGACAACTACCTTGCACTACCGTTGCATTCAAAAACTTAAAGCTATATAATATAAGCTTATATATCAACTAGCAGAACCCGCGGCTTCGCTCGCGCTCCAACTACAAAAAAAACTCTAAAATGGTACTAGGTTTCATACAAACTTTCATCCGCTATATTACCCCGTTATGGGATGAATCGCGAAAAATGCTAAAACACGTATTTATTTAATTGTATTGAAGAGCATTTTACAAAGTTTCAGGTAATTCTGATTATAAATATTTTTTTGAATTGTATTACACATTTTTTTGCACTATATTGCCCGCTGACATCTTCTTCCACAACCAGGGGTTGACTGGAAGAGATCTCTTTTAGAGATAAGTCCACCTTTGTGAACTATACTTACTTTGTTATTTTTTTTCTGTATCATATTTTAAGTGCAATAAAAGAATATAATATAACGTGTTTTCCCGTAGGAAGGAGATAATCTTCCGCGGTAAAAAATTGCCTATGTCACTCTTCAGCTCTCCAACTATCTCCACACAAAAAATCACGGCAATCCGCCAAGCGGTTTCGACGTGAAAGAAAGACAAACAAACAAACACACTTTCACATTTATAATATTAGTTTGGATATATTCGTTCCCTCGCTGCCAAACGTTAATAAATCGTTATATCACATACTGACAGTACAAGAACCGTCACTCATCATCATCTTACTCTTTAATTTTTTGCTAATGTTTTTTTACCAGTTTTTTATACATAATCCCTCCACGACCGCGAACACGCCGGCGCGGCGCGGCGTTACAGTTAACAATAGATATCTTAGAAATTTAATTAATTTCTTAGAAATTTTCCTGGAGGTGATATTATAAATATAAACACCCATGACTGGAGTACAAACATTCGTGCTCATCACACACATGAAAGCCCCCAGCAGGACTCGAACCCGCGACCGGTGGTACAGCAAGTAGGGTCACTACAAACTGAACCAAACGTGTCGTCAAACCATTCACCATACTTCGTTGTCTCCCTAATAAGTAATTTATTTCACGCTGACAATAGCCTGCAGTCCTCCCGCTCCAGTGATTGTATTCACTCGCGGTCACTTTAACCACCGTAATGTGCGGGCTCTTTATATTTGGAAACGACTTTGTACGATGTCTTTATGTTATTTGAATTGAGAACATGACCGGCATATTGTATGTTTAGACAGTAGAAATTACATGTTTTATCTTTTAATATATAAATTGTTATCTGTTAGTTTTGAAAATTATAATTTCTCCTAATGGGTTTATTATTATGTTAAATTGTAATCAAGTACTGTAAAATATATTACACAGCGACTCACCCTCGCTTCGCTCGGGTTCGTCTCTAGCTTGATTCCCCATGCTAACTTTCATCCCCATTTTCACCCCCTTAAGGGATGATTTCCGAACTAAAAAGTATCCAATGTCCTTCCCAGGGTCTTAAACTACCTTTATACCAAATTTCATCTAAATCGGTTCCATAGATCCAGAGATTACCCCCTACAACGTCACAAACTCACAAACTTTACCTCTTTATAATATTCGTATAGATATACATACATTCATATTCATAAAATCGATATAAATCCCATTAAAAATACTTTTGTATTTATATGTGCACAGGAAAATATACCATTTATTGATAGTATTAAATATTATTATTTCTTGTAGCCATTATAAAATAAATATGGATAAATTTAAATAATTGCAAATCTGAAAACATGGAAAGTCCTTCATTGATATCAATGCATTTTAATTAAGCTTCCAAAGTAAAAGCTCGCTACCTAATGAAATTATTCATTACATTTTCTTCTATACATTTTAGTGTACTCGCAACTGTAGAACTACCGATTCGTAATTAATGCAACGTTTTCATTAAAGATTTTCTTTATAGTTTTTTTTCTAGTATTGAAATTAATATATTATTTGACAAACCCTATCAGTATCGTATTCATGAGGCCTTTTATTCTTACAAATATCAACACAAAATTTTGTTTTACACTTTAAATTTATTATCATAAAATGATCCGTCACGATTCTTTTAAAGTCCTCACTTTAGGAGCGATACTCAAATTTGTTCAACAGTAGTTTATATAAATGACGACCGTCGCATATGGCAATGGAATGTCTCTGATTGGCATTGCCATCTATGCGGTCGCGGATTCAATCCCGCTCAGGGTTTAGTTAGTATACCTTATAGAATAAGCTTATCTTGGCTTGTCTCAGGCTAAAAACAATGTAAGTCTATACACACACAACACACGATATTTCCATAAAAGAAGTAAGTAAGATTTCAAGAATCTACATATATTTTATGTAAAATCACAAAATATTAACAGATGTTAATTTTAAATAAAACTATCTTTTCGGATTACATTATTATTGATTTGTTACAGACAGTGCACAAGTATGTGTTTGAGACGTCTCTCCCGTGATCATGATTGCTGTAAAGCATTCGAAACGTCGCGTCGGGAACCAAAAATCAAAATAAATCCGCGAAATAATCCGAAAAGATAGTTTTATTTATAATGTCAAATATTCGCGTAAATCTAAGAAAGTATTAAATGTTAATTTTGT